GTGTCTCTGTAACATCACGCCTCAGTCCCGGCCGGGTGTGAGGTGTGAAGGCTTATGTGGCTTTGCAGGGTATTTTTCAGCACAAATGAGCAGAAGCCCCAGGAGCAGAACTTTTTTGTTGGGTTTCCCCAGGAAAAAGATGGAATCGGGGCAGTTACCGTCTCCAAAAGGCAGCTCATGGTTGTAAGCCTTTCTAAAAAAAAAAAAAAAAAAAAAACAGGCTGGCCAAGTTTGTACTGGAGTGTGCTGCCTGGAGCATGGGCTTTCGCTCTGGCTGCTTCATTCCTTCCAATTGTTCTGTTGAAGAGAGATAAGCCAGATGTGAATAGGTAGACAGTGATCATGTTCCTTTAATTAGACTCCAGTAGCGCCTCGTGGAATTAAAAAAGACAAATTAAGAAAAATTACTATTTCTCGGGGGAAAAATGGATTCATTTTCATCAATACACAGTTCTTTCAGATTTTTTTAAGCTATTAAAATTCTTTTTTTTCCTTCGGAGACAGGGTTTCTCTTTGGCTTTGGAGCCTATCCTGGAACTCGCTCTTGCAGACCAGGCTGGCCTCAAACTCACAGAGATCTGCCTGCCTCTGCCTCCCGAGTGCTGGGACTAAAGCCGTGTGCCACCAACGCCCGGCTTAAAACTCTTTTCAGTTAGGTTTTTCACTTTTTCTCCCCTCAGACCTTTTTACTGGGGCTATTAACAAGGGAATATTTTGAAATAGTTCGAGTTCCTAAAGGTTTTATTCTATAAAAGAGGAGTTACCAAAACTGCCTTAAAATGAACAAAATGGCCCAATCTTAGTTCTACTGAGAGATTTAAAATATACCACTGATCTCATAAAAACTCTTGCTTAGCAATTTTCCTTAAATTCCGTTTGTACTCCCAGTCAAGTATTTTTTGTCTTCTCTCATGGTATGCCTAGCCTCAAGATTATTTCATTTACTTTTTATTTTAAAATTTTGCATTTGTGGGTATTAATTGTGCAAAGGGGTTTCATTGACATTTTACATGTATATGATTATTTTGATCGTATACTTCTATACTAATTTTTCATTAGTTATATACATGTATATATATAAATACGTAAGGATTGCATGAAATGATAGATCTAAAGCACCTAAGAGAGTCCGTCTGAGGGGCAGAAGGCATAACAATAAGTGATAATAATTAATAAATGGAATCAGATTTTAGGTTCCATTCATACCACCCTTACAAGGAATTTATTCCATGAAGCTAGTGTATATGGTCTAGATATATAAACATGGGACTCTTTTCTCCCAAGGAAATGCTGAGCCATTGCAGTAGATCCATAAAAAGCTTCTTGCTATCCCATGGTCTGCCTACTAGTGGTCTATTTAGGTAAATGAAATACTGAAAATTAAGTATTTGTTCACTTCAAATTAGTTTGTCTGTATATGGGTTCTGGGTTAACTTCATTCTTTGGTTTGCATTCAACCCCACAGAGGCCATTTAGTTGAAGTTTACTCTTTTATTTGACAGTCCAAGAATATTAATAAAAATATTAAATCATGTTTTCACAACAACTTAACTAATTTGTTCATCACATTACATCATGTAATTTGGACTGACTTTGGAAGTGATGACGTTTAGAAATCAAGACGTTAAATAAAGTATTTCGAAAATATATGCACCCCTTTTCAATGAGAATTATGAGTAAGATATAATATAACCAGTATAAAATAATATAACCATATAATGTGATATAATATAGCCAAAAATGGTCAGCAGAGTGAGCAAGAGTTTACAGTGACTTTGTTTTCTTTTTTATGAACTCAAAAACAAGCCATGAGTTTAAAGCATGATGAATCCCAAGAAATCGAGGAACAGTTTATATTGCGTCTGCCTCCGGTAAGTAACTTTTATTATCTCAGAATAAAAGTGTAGTTCCGCTAAGGTGACATTTACATTTCAGGTTATAAAAACTCAGAACATTTGCTTCCCAGAAATCATGTTCTATTAAGCAGTCCTATAGTAGTACGTATTCCTCTCACAATATTTCTTTGTTCCTGTATATACCATCAATCATGTGGCTTAATTCCCTGTCAAAACAGCTATGACAATGACAATTACGGATCATCCAGTCATTTATCACAAACATTAACAGACAATTTTCTGGACAGCCAAGGTAAGACTGTTCTAAAATTTTTTCTGTCATCTCAGAAGAGGTGGTTGGAGGGACTACCGCTATATCATCTGCAAATTCATCACCAAGCAAGGTTGTCAAACTCATTTTAACATTAGGCTTGACTCTTTTGCTCCATCGATAACCATGTTCGAGATTATTTCATTTAGGAGGCTATGATAGAGGTGGTTGGAAAGCTATTATCTATTATAGTCAACTAATATATGTAGTGAACTGTAGCTAAAGTTTTTCCTTAGCTCCTGCAACGGTAGGATAAACAGTAAGAAGTAGAACTAAAAAGCTGGGAGGAGGCACCAAATGTAGTTCCTGAAAGATAATGATGAAATTTGAGTTGAGTTCATTTAACTTGATTTATACAATTCATGGGCTCTAATAGTACAAAGCATAGTTAACATTTGGGAAATGTAAGTTTTATTTAAGGAGGACTCTTAATTAGACAATCTTACTGATTTTTAATTTACTTCCTTTTTAGGAACATGCTTATGCTGTTAGGAAGATTATACATTCTAGAGGTGTTTCCATGAAGGATAAACTAAAAATTGACTTTTCTTGTAAGTAGTTAATATCAATTCACAATATATTATACAATAATTTGCTACAGATTGCTATGTGTACCAGTCATTATACTATGCATTAAAGGTGTGAAAAAGAATAGAGTGTGTTATCATTCCAACCTTTATAAAACATACATATACAATGCTACAATCAAATGCTTTCTTTTTTTAAGGAATGTGTTTAAATGAATGAAATTTGCTTTTAGTGATAACAGGAAAACAGTTGCTGCCTTTGTCACCTTTGCTACCATTAGAAAGAAACTTAGTTTTGAACTAATAACATACAATATGTGAAAACAATTTTACATATATATATTTATTTATTTCTGGAAGTTACTGATTGAGTATTGATTTCTAGCTTTTCAAAAATAGTAAGCTTTATCGAAGAACTTGTCTATTGAACATAAGTCTTCATTATTCAAATTCCTGGAGACTGAACATTCCATTGGAATGTCAATATTAATTTTCTCTGCTTTTCTTTAGCTGATGGACATCATGCAGTTGTTCAGATAGAAGATGTCTCACTGCCTGCTAAACTGGTTAATTTGCCTTGTGTTATCGGAAGCCTGAAAACTGTTGATAGAAAAACATTTTATAAAACAGCAGATATTTCTCAGGTATGAAATTTTTTGAGACATGGTCTCCTCATATATCCTGGGATAGCCTCAAACTGAGAATGTAGCCGAGGAGGATTTTAAACTTCTAATCTTTCTTTTTTCAACTACCAAGTGCTGGGCTTTCAGACATGCCTTTCTGCACTCTTAAGTTGTGCTGACGATCAAACCTAGGGCTTTGTGCATATTAGACAAGCACTCTAGCAACTGAGTGACATCCCCAGATGTACAAAATCTTGTTTTGTTTTTTAGTGCTGAGGACCAGGTCCAAGGCCTCATTCATGCTATGCAAAGTGTTCTATCCACTACTGAGCTCTATCACCACCACTGGGTTGATTTTCTTAATCCTCTAGTTCTCATACCCTTTGTGGAATCTTCAGCCTTTCTGCCAGTATTCTGTTCTATTTGCCAAATGGCTATATAACATTTATAATCACCAGCCCAATTGCATGGGAACAGAATGTCATGCTCTGGTTTGGTATATGATACTTAAATTTTTATTTCTTTACTTTTTCAAACTCCTGCTCCTTGTTTGCCATTTTGAGTGACTTTAATTAATTAAAAAATACAAATGGCTAAGGTTTTTTTCTTCATTTTCTACTAGAGCAGTGCGTTAACTCTGAAGAAAATTACTTACTTGTCATCCCTATTGGTGCTTTCTGATTTCCTCTCTAAATCAAAATGCTAAAATGTATGTGTTTAATGGTATTGCTTCTGCAGTGGTAAACACCAGGTAAAGGTCAAATCTCTATATCATGCTTCAGGGAGAGAGAAGGGGGAGAAGGAAGTAGGAGAGGATGGGAAAGTGATATAGTCTGGAATCTGAATGTATATTACATAGTACTTAGTTTTGGGAAATGCCAAGAATCATTTGTGCTCCAGATTTCTTGTGGTCTGTTCATGTTTTATTACTAACCAGTATTTGGGGCAATAGCAAACTTCTCTTTCTTTTCTAAATATAGATGCTTGTATGCAGTGCTGATGGTGAGTCTCAGTCTTCCCCAGAACAATCAGCTGCCTCTCCTGATCCTACTGTAGCTGCAGGTGGTGAAGAGAAGACAGATAAAAAGAAATATAATTGGAAACATGGCAGTAAGTCATCAATCCCTTGCTCATTCTGGCTCACTACACTTATCTCTTGAATTGCAAATCTATGAATCAGGGACCTCTTACCTGGTTTATTAACCTTATTTTTATTTTCATTTAAAACATTTTTTATGTCATTTTACATTCCAACCACAGTTCTTCCTTCCACCGTTCCTACAAACTCCCCTCGCTTCTTCCCTGTCTTCCCCCATCTCCGCTCACCTCCCCACTAGCCCAACCCCAGTCCTCTGCTCCTCACAGGTAAGGGCTCCCATGAGGAGTCAACATAGTCTGGCACAATAGGTTGGGGCCGGGACAGACCCCTCTCCCTGGCATTAAGACTGACCATGGCAGCCCACCATGGGGAGGGGGCTCCAGAAAGCTAGCTCATGTACTGGGATATCAAGGTCCTACTGCCACTCAGCATGGCATCTTACCCTAGGGAATGGACTCCAACAAGCTAGCTCATGTACCAGGTTTGTATTGTGGTCCTACTGCCAGGAGCCCCTTAGCTAGTCCAAGCTTCACAACTGTCTCCTACATACTGAGGGCCTAGTTTTGTCCCCCAGAGTCTCCACAGTTGTAGGTCTAGAGTTCATGAGCTTGGTTCAGCTGTCTCTGCAGATTTCTCCATCATGATCTTGACCTCCCTTGCTCAGGTGTTCCCTCCTCCCTCTCTTAGACTGGATTCCTGGAGTTCGGCCTGGTTCTTGGTTGTGGATCTCTGCATCTGGTTCCATCAATTACTGGATGAGGGCTAACCTCTTATTTTTAAAGAAAAAAGTCATGCCATGACATATTTCTTAGTAAAATTCATGTAGATGCAGGACAGTCATCAGTCATATGGCCTATCTCATCATGTGTTTATTTTAGTTACTCCACCACTTAAGAATGTCAGAAAAAAACGATTCCGGAAAACAACAAAGAAGGTTAGTTTCCCGATGTTTGTGTTTCTGCTGGGTGAATTAGGAGAGGACTATGTGAGGGAAAGAAAGGTAGAAAGTCAATTGGGAAATTCATTGATTCATTTATATGTTCAATAAACAATACCTACCAGTTGTGATGGTATGTAGCAACCTGTAATCTCAGCTCTTGGGGGCTAAAACAGAAGGATCATGAGTTTAAGAAAATCCCTGACTATAAAATGAGACCTTGCTTCAAAAATGTAAAAGAATTAAAAATATGCACAATCCACAGATTTATGAGCTAGCAGTTGGGACTACATCAGCGAATAAAAATACACCCAGTTCTTTAAGTTATAGGCTCATTGTTAGGGATTTAGAAGAATCATGAATTTGACATTTTGGCTCATGCTTTTAATTTTCAACTGCTATAGATTTAAAACCAGGCATGTTGGTTACCTGTGAACTCAGCATTTGGGAAGCTGAAGCAAGAGGATTGCCTTCAGTTTGGAGACATCTTGGGTTACATTGCCAGTATTAGGCTAGCTAGGGATACATAGTGAGATTTTTTTTTTTTCTAAAAAGGAGAGAAAGTTTTAAATTGAACTCATCCAGGACTGGATAAAGTAGTTCTGCTGAAATCCATAATCCTACTTCAGGTGAGCTACAGAAGAGTGTGATTCCTTGGACTTATTTAAAAATTTAGTAAAAATCGTTGAAACAATCAAATATTCATATGCAGTTGGAAGAAATAGACGTTTACCATGTACTCTTTTTCTACTTTTCCCCTTTGTAGCATTTTACAAAACTATAGAACAATATCACAAATGAAATTATCATTATTGCAATTCACTAATCTTAATGAAATTTCTCATCAACCTATACTTATGTATTTGTATATGTGTTTAATTCTATGCAGTTTTGCTATATGGCAAGATTCGTGATCCACCTACATTGTCAAGATGTTAAACAGTTATATCACCACAAAATATTACTCATAATTGTCCCTTTGTGATTATTTATACTTTCTTCTTGCCTTACATCCCTGGTCTTCAGGGTCTAGCAATTCAAAATCTTTTCTTCCAGGATGGCCTGGAACTTGGGTTAAGGATGGTTGTGAGCCGC